AGAATTTTGTTCTGTTATAGAATTAAAAGTTAAGCATATAATTTATTTAATCAATTATCCAATAATTACTCCATTTGTATTTTCATTCAGACTGTTAATTTCTCTATTTGTTACATGATTTTTCTCCTCTTCGCAATATTGTAACAATTAATTTGAACTTTGCAGCATCAGAATCATGTTTTTAGCTAATTATAATATTAGTTTAATAATTCTGAGCTATTTGAGAAAATGTGATAGAGAACAAGCCTTAACTTTGTCTTTCACAGAGAGTGGACAAATGATTCCTGCAAACACACCTAACTATATTGCTGTTATATTTCAAATACACACGATTTCATGAACTTTTTTAAAATTAAAGAAATTAAAATAAAAATTTCCATACTTGAACTTGTTATTTGAACATCCCTTTAGATTTGTACAGTAATGAAAGATATTGAATTGCGGTAAGAAATTTATTAAATAGCCCGTAGCAAATTGAGCCTTTTAATTATCGCGAGTTATGATTTTGTATTTCATTTCACTTCTTCATTTTGTGTAGATAAACAACGTTACCTTTTACAAAAATCACTTTATACAATAGAAAAATCTAATAAAGTTAGTAGTTCAGAAAATATATAACAGGAAAGTTTGGTTGTATGAAGTCAACATTCCGTAAGTTCTACGGTCGATGCAACGACCTTGTCAGCAATAAACAATTTATCACTAAGTCAAATATACACTGGAATTTGTTTTCGTTAATTCCCTGTTATGCCAAGAAGCATACGGCAGGTGTGACCGGTCGGCAGGGGATGCTCGCTCCTCCATGGCACATGATCCCACCTCTGATGTTTTGGAGGTCCGTGTTTGTTCTGCTCCTATTTTGTATTGTTTTATGGACTTTTGATCTTGAATACTGTTCGTTATCTCCATATGTGTCATAGATATGGTAGTTCAAAGTCATTCAGATGTTTCTTGAAATAAGAGTAAAATGAGGACAATCCCTTTTCTAGTTTAAAAAAATTATTAATTTGCCAATTATGCAGTTATCAGTGTCTCTGATTTTTTCAACAATGACAAAATATTGATTCTACCGTTATGCTAAGAAGACCAAAAAATTAAAAAAAAAACTTTTGTTAGTGAATGATCTTTCTTAAGAGTACATTTATTTAAATAAACAATGAAATTATCCCCCTGAATGGAACATGAATGTCTCGGGAGATGGTTTTCTTTCTGAATGATGCTGTTATCCAATAATAACTATAAGAAATGGCTAACAATTCACTCATTATTCTTGATGGAATGTATGGAGATAACGAGCAGTAGTAAAGCTCAAAAGTCCATAAAACAATAAAAAATAGTATCATAGCAAACACGGTCCTCCAAAAACATCAGAGGTGTTGTAAATTGTTTGTAAATGTCCTCTTGGTACTAGTACATATATATGCTAGCTTTTTTCAATTTGATGGAATTGACAAATTTCTTGGTGTCATGACAAAACCCTTGCATAAACTTCTTGCTTGAAAACCAAATGCAATATCCCGACGTGTACTGCGCATCGTTTTTTGTCCAGATATATAATTCGTCCATATTGATGTTGGTAAATCTCTCAGCTACAAATCAACTAAATAATATAGAGCAATTGACTACCATGTCATCTGGTATCAAATGAATTGCCTTGAATCCACCCAACTTCCAGTTTCCCTAATTTTGTTGATCAATATAGAAATTGTGTTGTAGTGATTACTTAATGCCGTGACTATTTATAATAAATTAGTAAATTTTCTATATGTTTGGTAGTATGTTTGCACAATTTGTCATTACAAGAATGCATAATTTTAATTTTCTGTTAAAATAAAAATATCAGAAGGAATCCCTTGTAGACACCAGGTCTGATTGCTTTAGCATATGCTTTTTAAGGATCAGTCGCCAAATACAATGGGATATTTTTTCTCAGAATTTTGAATTAGCATTAACATTGGGAATATAACAGAAAGAAAGAAAATAGAAATGTTTTCTTTCATAAAGGTATGGACACAACTTTCATTTATTCTTTGAAATTATTATGCTCCAGTGAACAGTGTGGCTTTTCATCAGTTCACACATTTAATACCTTATTTTTTAACTAAAATACCAATATTACGAGGGTTGTTAGAAAAGTTCGCGGACACATTGATTTACGGAAAATCTATTGTGCACTGTGCAGTATGACCTATGTCTGATTAAATTCTTATCTTTCGTTTACATATATGTAAAAAAAATCAGGTTCATTTATTAAAATTTTAAAAATTTACAACACTTTTTACTTTGCGGTCATAGGATTCACGGAGCAATAACTTGACGTTAAGTGACGTGACTATCAGATATCAAACACGTTAAGCCTTTTCATAGTTCTGAATATCTTTCAAACTTTTCTTTTGTTTTTCCACTTAAAAATAAAATATCTATATCAAGACATGTTACTTTTCTTCTATAATATCTTTTGTGCGGTTTCGGATATTAGTGAGAACTTAAAATAAATGTCAGCACAGTTAAACGATCAGGTGTGAAAACAATTCCAAAAATCCATAGGCGCAACGTTCATGCAAAAAGTGGGGCATTGAGATATCGCAGGAGTGATGATTAAAAATGTTAATCCTTCCATTCTTAAAAAGCTACTACCATTTGAATACCTTTTGTCCTTTGTTTGTTGATACAATTTTCAGCAGTATCTAAAAGTATTTTATTCTCTTTTTAGATATTTTTATCTGCACACATAATTTTTAGTAGCACGGTGGTCCATGACATTCAATGAAGTTCTCATTTTTGGCTTTATTTTTACGCGCTTATTATTTATAATCTGATATAAACCAGTCAGATACTCTTCAATTTAATTCAAAATTTGACCAAGTGACGTTTCATGAATATTGTAGCGACAGGTAAAATATCAAAATTCTTTTTGCGCTACAACTCTGCAATTTTTAATATCAATAAAAGGTCTATGTAACGTAAACATGCGAAAACGAAGCATGTTTTATCAAAATAAAATAGCTGTTTATTTTTTAAAGATCACCGGAAAATACCCAAATCTTTGTATATGTGTTGGAAAATAGGTAAAGATTTTATTTAGGGAGTTTAACCGACAGTAGAACTTGTCCGCGTACTTTTCTAACAACCCTCGTATATATCAAATATATCACTGTCATGTTTTAAAAAAGTAAAACGTATTTTCTTTGACAGTTTGAAGAGGTCTATGAAACGTTTAAATCCCAATCTAAACATGATCCGTAAAATGGCCATATTGTATATAAATGATATGTTTAATTACAAACTATAGCTTGTGTGCCTATTATCGCCTCCTTTACAGTCAGCTGCCGAAGAATGACAGAAGTAGTAAGAGAGAGCTTCTGAATTGTTAGTGTAGTAATAATTAACTTCTTCTGAATTGTGTATTGTAGTTAAAATAAACTTCTTCTGAATTGTTACTGTAGTTATAATTAACTTCTTCCTAATTGTTTGTGTAGTAACAGAGCTTCTGAATCGTTAGTGTAGTAATAATCAACTTCTTCTGAATTGTGTATTGTAGTTATAATTAACTTCTTCTGAATTGTTAGTGTAGTCATAATTAATTTCTTCTGAATTGTTAAAGCAAACAACATTAATTTTCTTTTAAGAATTGTGAATGCTGATTAGATCAAGATATTCTGAATTGATTTTGCATTTAATGTATTTCAGGGAATGTTTCGGATTTGAAGTTCCATAAGCTTAAGGAAAGAATACAAAGAGAATTTTAACTGGTATACTTATTAATTTTCTGGTCTGTTTCTTGCCACAAACACAAAAATAAATGGATACATCCTTTCATTCTCGAGTTTTGAAGTAATTACATGTAGTTAACGGTTAACCCTTAAATTAATTTAAGGTTTAATTATCGAAACTCTCTCTTGGACGTGAAGACAAGTCCTTCGAATGCGACAGGCATATTTATAGGTTTCATGTCACAGTAAATGTTATGCGCAATGTGCAATTATGCCAGTTCAGCTCTAAATTCACTGCCTTGTAACGGCAGCTGGTGGCGTCCGAATACGCATAAGCAATTGGATGTAAGAAAAAGCTGGCCTCTGACTTGATTAATTGCATTGATCTTACAGTACAATAAATTAATTTGATTTATTTTACAGTGCTATGACCGACATCAAATCAGTTTCCTTTAGTGTGTATAACAATGTTATTATTGAGGAGCATTTCACATAAACGGCTTTATTAATTTCTCCTTTATGAAAAAGGGATATAATAGAATATGATGTATTGATATTTCATAGTTTCAGCTCGTAAGGGGAAAGTTTGACACTGTGCTGATTCACTTATTGGAATGATATTGAAATGAAAACTGAGACCGTGTTCTTCCTCCTAATTCTGATATCACTGACCAGGTCATGTTACCGTGTGACATTTAATTATCCATCCGGAAAGATTATCGTGAATGCCTCATACTCTGTCTTCTCTACAAATACCCTGCTCTCCTGTGTTAGGAAATGCAAGTTTCAAAGAAAATGTCTATCTGTCAACTTTGATACCATAGGGAGGAAGTGTTATTTAAACTACAAAGGTCACCTTACATCTGGAACACAGATGGAAACTTCCGGTCACGTTAGATCTTATGACGTCGATGTTTGGAAAGATGTATGTACCACTTGTTAAATTCAATGTAGTAGACACTTTTAAATAAAACTAACCAGTATTTAATGGTCATTGTTAGGTTTTAATTTTTTTTTTCAGGTCTTTTTATTTCTCTTCAAATTTTTATAACTGTATATACGAGTGATCTAAACAAAATCCATGACAAACAGTTTTGTCAATGGAATGGACTTAGATACTGTTCGTCTTCTCCATATATTTCAATTATAAACATATATTTATATTAAAATATTATTATCTGTTGGAAATTCCTTTTTGAATGTTTTATTTATTTGACAGAAACATGTAGAAACAATGAATAATCAAATCGAACCAAGAGTAAATAATAATTTAATAATTGGTATACATTTAATTAAGACACCTTTCAAATAAAAAAAAAAAAAATTTTTACACCCTCATTCACAATTAAGGTATAGAATCTTCTCTGGTTTCTGACTAGATGAAATTTTTGTAGTACATATGCTTATATGTCATATATTTAGGTGTAAAAAAAAGACCATACTTTTCTTTCGTCACAATTGTATAACTTTAAATAGAAATGGTAAACCGCTTTTCAAATCTAGCAGGGCTTTTGGCGGAATGGTGGCGTATGAAAACATCTTCTATTCTGCCTCTCAAAAACATTATCGAACAATGAATTTAGTTATAATTTTTACACAATCAAAAACTTGAAGAACTTTTCAAATGTAAGTTTATTCAAAAATAAAGTACTAAAGCTCCAAAATATATTAAATAGATATGATTTTTCAAACAAACTCGAACTATGTTAGATTTTATAAGCTTCCAATCTGAGTACATATTTGATCCAAAAATCCGTCAAAAGTATTTTTTCTCTCTTAGTAAACGATCAAAACTCTTTTTTTTGTATCATTTTGTATCTCTATGTGAGAACTTTACCATATGTTAAAATGAGAAAAATGTAAATATAGGAAGCATATAAAAATAACTAATATATCCTAATATTCTGATTAGCTAATATTTATTTTAGTTAAATTATTTATTTCAATGTGGTAATATCATCTTATATGCCCATGATTATGGTAAAATCTTTTTATGCAAAAAGAAAAACTTTCAATGTTTTGAAATACATGTAGTGATCGCATAACTTGCATCAGTAATTTTTTTTATTATTAATGTCCAGGAAAAAGATAATGGCCTTGACCTGACCTTGTCTCTAATATAAAACGGTCTAATTTCGTTTCACTGATACCATCGCTTGGTGATAATGTCTTCTTGATTCTGTGAAAGTTTCATTATTAAATCCAAAAAATAAAGAAATTCATTTAAAAACCTTTCTCTTAAAACTTTGTACAACTGTATGATGTTTTTATACTTTTATATAGAAAATTACTTATTATTGTTGTTTCAAAATATATCTATATTTGTAAGATAAGATAAGATAAGATAATATTTATTTAAAGTCGGGTACATCAACAAAGAACATTAGCTCTGAAGAGCTATTTTCCGACTGTAAATACTTTATTCTGTAATTAACGATAGTAAGTTTTTCCAGGGGGATTTTTCTCTATGTTAAGGAAACATTTTTAAACAGTTTCTGCATGAATTCAAAAACATAGTTTTGTGCGTTTCTCTTTACGTGTATAAAGATGAAGAAAAAAATATGTGTACAGTTTCATACATTTAATAAGATTAAAACTTTTATTTTCTATCATTATTACACAGTCGTATGGTTTTTACTTTTTTCCAAAAAAATGAAAAGAGCATCGAACAAGAGGATATTAAAAGGATATTGAGCATTTCATAGTTACATGTACACAGAAGTGTTTTATGGTCTACATTTTTTTTATCAGGAGGACCTGTACATGGGAAGCTGTAGTAATCACAGTTGTAGGTATGACCTGATCTGTGAACAAGGAAGTGACCACACAGCTCCCTACACGTGTATTCAGGACACACAATGTCAGTGGAGTGATGGCTGTTCTGGTTGTATTCAAGGTAAGGTTAGGGTAAAGGTTAGGCTTAAAGTGCCCTGCACGTGTGTACGGGACACACAATGTCAGTGGGGTGATGGCTGTTCTGATTGTATTCAAGGTAAGGTTAGGGTAAAGGTTAGGGTAAGTGCCCTACACGTGTATACAGGACACACTCAACACACAATGTCAGTGGAGTAATGGCTGTTCTGGTCGTATTCAAGGTAAGGTTAGGGTTAGGTTAGGATTATAGTGCCCTACAAATGTGTACAGGACACACAAACAGTGACAGTGGAATGATGGCTTTTCTGGTTGTATCCAAGGTAAGGTTAGGGTAAAGGTTAGGGTAACACAGCCCTACACGTGTATACAGGACACACAATGTCAGTGGAGTGATGGCTGTTCGGGCTGTATTCAAGGTAAGGTTAGGGTAAGGGTTAGGGTTACAGCGCCCTACACGTGTGTACAGGACACACAATGTCAGTGGAGTGATGGCTGTTCTGGTCGTTTTCAAGGTACCTTCCGGTAATTTAACTGTCTAATAGAAGCGTTGCATATAATGTACATACACACTTGAATACTGTTCGTTATCTCCTTATATATATTTGATGCATACACTCCAATATGTATATATACATGATTACTTGTATAAACATATCAATTTAAATGTCTTTATGAGAATTTATGTCGGTGGTTTATCATAAGAAAAGTGCATATTATAATGCTATTCAATATGATTGTAAGATTAAGAAGTAATTATCCAGAAATAAAAGTTGACAGAAAAGGAATTCCGAATAAGAAGTAAAAAAAGTGTTACAGATATATATGTGCTTTTTTTTTATTTCTATGGGGCATAACACTGACTGCATTGTAGACAATGGAGAGATGATCCAACCAAACACTCAGGACTTTACACCTTTTGGCTGCTACCATGCTGCCGGTGCTAACACTGGGTTTCTGAGTTATGTTAATATGAGGCTCCAGATCAACTGGTATGACATCGGCGCGACAGTCCGGGCGTGTGCTGAGGAGACCAAAAAAAGAATGTTACAGTACTTTGGTCTGGAGTTTTACGGGGAGTGCTATATGAGAAATGATACACTGGATGTGTCGTACACATTGGTTGCTGTGAAGCAGTGCTCCGAGAAATGTGCATTTGGTGTTGGAGCTGCTGATATTATTTTCTTTTACCAGCTTATTTGAAAAGAAGAAATAAGAAGTTCGGCTATATTTCAACTCTATTTATTCAGATAGATATTTGTTATATTGTGTTTATTGTACTATTGTAACGAATAAAGTTGGACAAAAGTATTAGATAATGTGATATGAAGTTCATTATTGAGTAATGCTAATCTCTGTATCATGCTTCAAATCTCCAGTTTAACTGAACAAACATAGGAACATTTTCGTCTTTTTTAGGAAGATAAATGGCTGGCTTATGCTGATCTTTAAGAAATTCATTAATTTGGATTTAATTCTTATATATTCTTATATTGTTATGTGCTGGAAATCAAATAAAGATGGAGAGTGCATGAAAATGAATGAAAATTTTTTTTTCCACGTTTCACTTTACTGATTGTAGGAAATGCATAAGATAACAAATCATTTCCGAGTCAACACGATTATAGCAAATCCTTTAACAGATTAGTTAAATGTGCTATCATCATTCCTTAAGACATTGTGCACTATTCTTATCTTTAGACCATCACGATGGTGGATAAACACCATCATGTTCTTTGCCAGAACTTTTATTCTTTTGATAGGTTTTGAGACGATGTCCTCAATTCTTCTGGAGAACATTTGACCATGGTGACCAGGTCATCACTAGAAATGAACTTGACAAGGAGATCCAGGGTTTGAAAACAATCATTGCGTAGATGAATACTACTAAACTTGACCAGGAAATACAAGCTTTGGAAAGAGTCATTGAGAAAATGAATGCTACGATTGTTAAAAATAAATTCTCATGTCGTACACCTCTTTGTTGAAAAAGTATACTTGATTTTGATTCTTTCAGTTTGAAAAAAAAATTATAGAACAATTCATTGCATAATTACGTAAAGTATGTTTTCCATATTTGAGGGAACATAATATTATTCTCTGTGTACAGATGTCTATGTTAAAATAATCCCCTGGACATCAATCTGAAATTTTTATTTTAAAGGCAGAGATTTTAAGCACCGCCTTCAAAAATACCTGTTCTGGGTAGCCCTGTCAATCAAGTGCCTTAAGGTCCATCATTGGTTGCTGGAACTTGATTGACACTTACTTACTGCTCCTTGTGTATACCCTGTACACCTTGTTTGGGACTCGTAGCGACCCTCTAATTAACTTTTGATCCTTTGATGTTTACTGAACATAGTATACAGAAACTGTATTACTATGAAAATATTGATATTATATGAATTAAATATACCTTTAGTATTTGAAAGGATTATTATAACATGCATTTTTTATTTAAGTTAACCTTATTTCGATATTAATTTTAATATGCTAAATGGTAAACCTACAGTGATAATGTTATTGATAAAGTTCAGAGCAGCACTGTGTGAAGAAAATAAATTAAATTAAAAAATAATTTTTCCAGTCATGGGTCACTTACATGTATATTTTCCTTTTTTATTTAGATAAGAATGTTTTTTAGCATGTTAGGATAAACATGCTAATTGGTGTTTTTTAGCATGTTAGGATAAACCTAGATATTTTTTAGTGAAATGAGGTTAACACAAATCTCTTATCATTTTTTTAATTGATGGGATCCTGGGGGATGAATGAATTATGTCTAATTTGGTTTTTACAGGAGTTCTTTTTTTTATCAGCACATACATTAACATCTAAAACAATCTTTGTTTTCATATTTGAATTAATAGTGTGATAAAATGAGAATTTTTAAATCGGTAAAGGTGTTTTCAAACAGTAAAAAAATAAATCAATATATAATTGAAAAAAAAAAACTGTTTACTACTAATCTCAAAATTGTCTCAAAATCCCCAACACCGGTAACTTTTGACATCTGGGTATTTCACTGTGTATTAAATCATTTCCTGTGTATAGGGACTAGGAGACAGATGGCCATAGGTAGACTACAAGCCCCCAAGGCATTCACACCAGTACAAAATTATCCCCTTACTCATTTGGAATTTACCACCCGGTAAAAAAACCTCTGCCTTTAAATGCATTTAGAGTATGGTGTGCCATAGTCTACAAAAATATGCTTCCTGTGCTTTGCACATGATTATTGTTCAAAAAGGTCAATAAAATAAAGGCCACTATGATACTGAATAAAGTGAGTTAATCATGCGGATTAATTATCAAATTCCCTTGGTTGTATAGAACATTTTCGAAACCTTAGCGTATGCTTCCACTGGTTTGAGTTTAAATTAGCGGTTTATAAGAAAGCGTAAACTGCCCCAAGTTTTGTTATATCGGATAACATAAGTTGAAATAAGCTTCATTCCTTATAATTTAATGTTATTGTTGACAATTAGACAATTTTTATGCGCCCGGATCGATAGATCCCGGGCGTATATTGTTTTTGTCCTGTCTGTTTGTTCTGTTTGTCTGTTGTCAACTTTAACCTTGGCCATAACTTTTGAACAATAAGAGATAGAGACTTCATATTTGGTATGCATACTCCACTAATAAAGTCCTTTCAAATGACATCAAGGTAAATGACCTTGTGACCTTGACTGTGACCTATATGCTAAAAATAGCTTTTTCCACTGTTTGTCATAACTTTTTTACCATAGGAGATAGGGACTTCATATTTGGTATGCATACTCCACTAATAAAGCCCTTTCAGTTGACAACAAGGTCAATGATCTTGTGACCTTGACTGTGACCTATATGCTAAAAATAGCTTTTTACACTTTTTGCCATAACTTTTGAACCATAGGAGATAGGATCTTCATATTTGGGATGCATACTCCACTGATTAAGTTCTTTTAAATGACACCATGGTCAATGACCTTGTGACCTTGACTGTGACCTATATGCTAAAAATAGCTTTTTACACTTTTTGCCATAACTTTTGAACCATAGGAGATAGGATCTTCATATTTGGGATGCATACTCCACTGATTATGTTCTTTCAAATGACACCATGGTCAATGACCTTGACTGTGACCTATATGCTAAAAATAGCTTTTTACACTTTTTGCCATAACTTTTAAACCATAGGAGATAGGATCTTCATATTTGGGATGCATACTCCACTGATTAAGTTCTTTCAAATGACACCACGGTCAATGACCTTGTGACCTTGACTGTGACCAATATGCTAAAAATATATTTTTTGAACTTCGTTGCCGCCGGGCGCATAGTGTTTCACAAACACATCTTGTTCCTCCGGAAAAAGGCTTCAAATACGTTTTTGACGTCACTCATTGTGACGTAGGCAAATTATGTTATATAAAATGGATAAAACTTTTTATCCAATCAAATGACGTGTTACAACTAGAATTAAATTATTAGGGTATATTTGCATTTAATAAATAATACAAAACATCAGGTAATACTTTATGAACATACAAATATCTTATGTCTACTCTACTTCCTGTGAATCTATAAAAAAAAACAAGTATTGTCGATTTCTTCTTTTTTGAAATTTTAGCTATGATGTATCTTCTTAAAATGTTATTATCACTGTTTACACTAATTTAAACTCAAACCAGTGGAAGCATACGCTAAGGTTTCGAAAATGTTCTATACAACCAAGGGAATTTGATAATTAATCCGCATGATTAACTCACTTTATTCAGTATCATAGTGGCCTTTATTTTATTGACCTTTTTGAACAATAATCATGTGCAAAGCACAGGAAGCATATTTTTGTAGACTATGGCACACCATACTCTAAATGCATTTAAAGGCAGAGGTTTTTTTACCGGGTGGTAAATTCCAAATGAGTAAGGGGATAATTTTGTACAGGTGTGAATGCCTTGGGGGCTTGCAGTCTACCTATGGCCATCTGTCTCCTAGTCCCTATACACAGGAAATGATTTAATACACAGTGAAATACCCAGATGTCAAAAGTTACCGGTGTTGGGGATTTTGAGACAATTTTGAGATTAGTAGTAAACAGTTTTTTTTTTTTCAATTATATATTGATTTATTTTTTTACTGTTTGAAAACACCTTTACCGATTTAAAAATTCTCATTTTATCACACTATTAATTCAAATATGAAAACAAAGATTGTTTTAGATGTTAATGTATGTGCTGATAAAAAAAAGAACTCCTGTAAAAACCAAATTAGACATAATTCATTCATCCCCCAGGATCCCATCAATTAAAAAAATGATAAGAGATTTGTGTTAACCTCATTTCACTAAAAAATATCTAGGTTTATCCTAACATGCTAAAAAACACCAATTAGCATGTTTATCCTAACATGCTAAAAAACATTCTTATCTAAATAAAAAAGGAAAATATACATGTAAGTGACCCATGACTGGAAAAATTATTTTTTAATTTAATTTATTTTCTTCACACAGTGCTGCTCTGAACTTTATCAATAACATTATCACTGTAGGTTTACCATTTAGCATATTAAAATTAATATCGAAATAAGGTTAACTTAAATAAAAAATGCATGTTATAATAATCCTTTCAAATACTAAAGGTATATTTAATTCATATAATATCAATATTTTCATAGTAATACAGTTTCTGTATACTATGTTCAGTAAACATCAAAGGATCAAAAGTTAATTAGAGGGTCGCTACGAGTCCCAAACAAGGTGTACAGGGTATACACAAGGAGCAGTAAGTAAGTGTCAATCAAGTTCCAGCAACCAATGATGGACCTTAAGGCACTTGATTGACAGGGCTACCCAGAACAGGTATTTTTGAAGGCGGTGCTTAAAATCTCTGCCTTTAAAATAAAAATTTCAGATTGATGTCCAGGGGATTATTTTAACATAGACATCTGTACACAGAGAATAATATTATGTTCCCTCAAATATGGAAAACATACTTTACGTAATTATGCAATGAATTGTTCTATAATTTTTTTTTCAAACTGAAAGAATCAAAATCAAGTATACTTTTTCAACAAAGAGGTGTACGACATGAGAATTTATTTTTAACAATCGTAGCATTCATTTTCTCAATGACTCTTTCCAAAGCTTGTATTTCCTGGTCAAGTTTAGTAGTATTCATCTACGCAATGATTGTTTTCAAACCCTGGATCTCCTTGTCAAGTTCATTTCTAGTGATGACCTGGTCACCATGGTCAAATGTTCTCCAGAAGAATTGAGGACATCGTCTCAAAACCTATCAAAAGAATAAAAGTTCTGGCAAAGAACATGATGGTGTTTATCCACCATCGTGATGGTCTAAAGATAAGAATAGTGCACAATGTCTTAAGGAATGATGATAGCACATTTAACTAATCTGTTAAAGGATTTGCTATAATCGTGTTGACTCGGAAATGATTTGTTATCTTATGCATTTCCTACAATCAGTAAAGTGAAACGTGGAAAAAAAAATTTTCATTCATTTTCATGCACTCTCCATCTTTATTTGATTTCCAGCACATAACAATATAAGAATATATAAGAATTAAATCCAAATTAATGAATTTCTTAAAGATCAGCATAAGCCAGCCATTTATCTTCCTAAAAAAGACGAAAATGTTCCTATGTTTGTTCAGTTAAACTGGAGATTTGAAGCATGATACAGAGATTAGCATTACTCAATAATGAACTTCATATCACATTATCTAATACTTTTGTCCAACTTTATTCGTTACAATAGTACAATAAACACAAAATAACAAATATCTATCTGAATAAACAGAGTTGAAATATAGCCGAACTTCTTATTTCTTCTTTTCAAATAAGCTGGTAAAAGAAAATAATATCAGCAGCTCCAACACCAAATGCACATTTCTCGGAGCACTGCTTCACAGCAACCAATGTGTACGACACATCCAGTGTATCATTTCTCATATAGCACTCCCCGTAAAACTCCAGACCAAAGTACTGTAACATTCTTTTTTTGGTCTCCTCAGCACACGCCCGGACTGTCGCGCCGATGTCATACCAGTTGATCTGGAGCCTCATATTAACATAACTCAGAAACCCAGTGTTAGCACCGGCAGCATGGTAGCAGCCAAAAGGTGTAAAGTCCTGAGTGTTTGGTTGGATCATCTCTCCATTGTCTACAATGCAGTCAGTGTTATGCCCCATAGAAATAAAAAAAAAGCACATATATATCTGTAACACTTTTTTTACTTCTTATTCGGAATTCCTTTTCTGTCAACTTTTATTTCTGGATAATTACTTCTTAATCTTACAATCATATTGAATAGCATTATAATATGCACTTTTCTTATGATAAACCACCGACATAAATTCTCATAAAGACATTTAAATTGATATGTTTATACAAGTAATCATGTATATATACATATTGGAGTGTATGCATCAAATATATATAAGGAGATAACGAACAGTATTCAAGTGTGTATGTACATTATATGCAACGCTTCTATTAGACAGTTAAATTACCGGAAGGTACCTTGAAAACGACCAGAACAGCCATCACTCCACTGACATTGTGTGTCCTGTACACACGTGTAGGGCGCTGTAACCCTAACCCTTACCCTAACCTTACCTTGAATACAGCCCGAACAGCCATCACTCCACTGACATTGTGTGTCCTGTATACACGTGTAGGGCTGTGTTACCCTAACCTTTACCCTAACCTTACCTTGGATACAACCAGAAAAGCCATCATTCCACTGTCACTGTTTGTGTGTCCTGTACACATTTGTAGGGCACTATAATCCTAACCTAACCCTAACCTTACCTTGAATACGACCAGAACAGCCATTACTCCACTGACATTGTGTGTTGAGTGTGTCCTGTATACACGTGTAGGGCACTTACCCTAACCTTTACCCTAACCTTACCTTGAATACAATCAGAACAGCCATCACCCCACTGACATTGTGTGTCCCGTACACACGTGCAGGGCACTTTAAGCCTAACCTTTACCCTAACCTTACCTTGAATACAACCAGAACAGCCATCACTCCACTGACATTGTGTGTCCTGAATACACGTGTAGGGAGCTGTGTGGTCACTTCCTTGTTCACAGATCAGGTCATACCTACAACTGTGATTACTACAGCTTCCCATGTACAGGTCCTCCTGATAAAAAAAATGTAGACCATAAAACACTTCTGTGTACATGTAACTATGAAATGCTCAATATCCTTTTAATATCCTCTTGTTCGATGCTCTTTTCATTTTTTTGGAAAAAAGTAAAAACCATACGACTGTGTAATAATGATAGAAAATAAAAGTTTTAATCTTATTAAATGTATGAAACTGTACACATATTTTTTTCTTCATCTTTATACACGTAAAGAGAAACGCACAAAACTATGTTTTTGAATTCATGCAGAAACTGTTTAAAAATGTTTCCTTAACATAGAGAAAAATCCCCCTGGAAAAACTTACTATCGTTAATTACAGAATAAAGTATTTACAGTCGGAAAATAGCTCTTCAGAGCTAATGTTCTTTGTTGATGTACCCGACTTTAAATAAATATTATCTTATCTTATCTTATCTTACAAATATAGATATATTTTGAAACAACAATAATAAGTAATTTTCTATATAAAAGTATAAAAACATCATACAGTTGTACAAAGTTTTAAGAGAAAGGTTTTTAAATGAATTTCTTTATTTTTTGGATTTAATAATGAAACTTTCACAGAATCAAGAAGACATTATCACCAAGCGATGGTATCAGTGAAACGAAATTAGACCGTTTTATATTAGAGACAAGGTCAGGTCAAGGCCATTATCTTTTTCCTGGACATTAATAATAAAAAAAATTACTGATGCAAGTTATGCGATCACTACATGTATTTCAAAACATTGAAAGTTTTTCTTTTTGCATAAAAAGATTTTACCATAATCATGGGCATGTAAGATGATATTACCACATTGAAATAAATAATTTAACTAAAATAAATATTAGCTAATCAGAATATTAGGTTTGCACTACAATGTGAAGAAAGGAGGTGGCGCTGCCTACGGCTGCCATGTTGTATGATGGGAATTTTTTGGGCTTTTTTGAATAACATATTATGAAGTCTAACTACCCACCGAATTTCATTAAGATATGATAACCTTCGATTTGGACAGTTCTGCATGGTTTTCTCGCGGACTGGCTCTTAATATGAATGTTATTATTGACTTCCAAGAACCTACTCCTATCAACGAGTAAAGAAGGTAAAAGAATAGGAGAATCAAAGATTAATGTACCGAGAAACAGGACTAATGCTGTTCCGTGTAAGTTTAAGTATGCAGCAATATACCCATGTCAAATTCATACACATCAAAAAGGTATCTTTATTATATTTCGTTAGGAATAATCTCGTTACTGATAAACTATCGATAAATGATACTTGATCCTCTTAAGAAATACTGGCGGTCATTTGATTTTTCTTAACTATTGTCCCACAGAAAAGTTTTCGTATAAAATTATTGATTTTGATGTTGATCAGTTGTTTGCTTTATTGTAACTTAATGATACCGTCGCCACTTCCTTAAACTTCATAACAACCAACAAAAACGATCAAAGCATACACATGTAACCGTCAAGATGAATATACCTGTACATATAACACATGGGGCATAAAAAACTTTAAAAAATTAAATAAATAAATTAAATTATTATACTTTCATGTTGAATACTAAAATCTGATTGGTTTAGACGCAGTTAACAATCCGTTCTATTACCCTCAGCCTTAGCAACACACGTGACAACGGGTAACACAACGGTAATGTCACATGCGTGGAAATTATGCGCGTACGGTTCACCGTAGAATTCTCAAAACGTCAGTTGTGCGTTTGAAAGAACCGGAATAAACTTGACGTCAATAAAAGCTTGCGTCCGATGTAGCTTACTTGAAAACAACAAACGACAGACAAAACATGCTTGCGAGTGTAGAAATAACGAAACTTCAGATGATAAAGGACTCTTAGAGTATCAAATAAACAATAAAGAGGTCAGTAAATCTTTTTCGAAGTAGCGTGGAGTTTGAAAGCTTTCTAAACCTGAACGTAAAGACGATCGACGATTTTTTTTTTTTGACATCCTAAATCAAGAAGACATTCAGTATAATAACATAAATGGTGCCTGTTTTGGACGGTAACAGTTGAAATTGACACCCCTCGGGAAACCATTGTCAACCTCCGCTGACGCGTCGGTTGACAATGGTTTTCCTTGGGGTGTCAATTTCAACTGTTACCCTCCAAAACAGGCACCATTTATATAATACTGCCTGAGTGTCCAGTTAAGATTTTAAAACTCTTAATATATATATTTTCAAAAGTATAGCACATTCTTTAGTTTCTCGACATTGCGTTTCAACCTTAAGAACACTTTAAGCTTTATTTATTACAAAGTTTTAAGTTTTCCCTTAATATTGACTCTAAACTTGAAAAATTTAAAGGCAAGGAAATTCCTAAAACATTCCATATAATTATTTTATAATTCATTATATATTTTTGTAAAGGGTGAGCAGTATTTCTCAGTCATGAATGGCGCAGTGCTTTCCCCGGGAGGAATTGACATAGAACTGCTTGCGACGTTTAATATTCTTGAAAGAGCGACTTTACGTAAAGTCAGGATGTCTAAGGTAATGTTTCATTACAGGGAAGCATCTTAAGTATTTATTGAAGTCGTATTTTATTGCGCATATCACCAAACTTTCTTTGATCGTAGAACTCATTCCTGCGCAGGAAGGAACTGAAGGATGTAAACCACTATCACGTGTACGGTCTGAAAATGGCGACTTTATCCGAGGAGCTATTTTAAAATTGTATAAACCTTTTTAAATCGAACAAAGGAGATGTAAACGAAACAGGACCATTAACTGTACAGGGAGAATGGTAAGTTGTCTATTTAAATCTTAATAAATTAATATGATTTTTGCACCTTTTTGTTAAGAGTTTTGGTAATATACTTTTAAAAAGTTCATGAAGTGTTCAAATGAGCAAATTTGAATTTTGATAATAATTTTTACATAGAAAACAAATTAAATTCATATTGCATATGCTAAATAAAAGCTATGAAGAAGTGATGATTCGAATCATATGGACTTTGAGATTGAATACTGTTCGCTACCTCCATATCCTTCATGTGTATCTGTAATCTCCATAGCTCTGGGACTGACTACAGCGGAGTGTTAATTAAAACGGATTATCTGGTTAAGTTGATAGATTCAGGTGCCAAGGAAGTCGATGTATATCGGACAGCATTGAGTGTTATGAATGAAAGAATGTCCGCCATTAATACGGAAGTAAGTTATTTTATAAAGATAATAAAAATGCCAAAAAATATATAATGCATTTAAAGTTACCTGAAATTTATAACAATATGTGTAGAGTATATTCAGATTTATCTTGAATGTATTTTGTTTAAACGTTTAACACCATGTTCAAATCATTTTATAAAATAATGCTTTTTTTCTTGTAGGAACAATGTTCAACAATATATATTTGTCTTCAGAAATACCTTGTCTCAAAACCAAAATCGGATGTAAAAACATGTAATGAAATTCTGACAGAAAAAGAGAGTGTAAGAGATGTCATAAAAGTTTTAGATTAATACACACACGTGATTATTATATTTTTTAGGTCACCTGAGTAAACTCAGGTGACCTATTGCTATCTGTTTTCGTCCGTCGTCGTTCGTCGTGCGTCGTTCGTCGTTCGTCGTGCGTTGTTCGTCGTGTGTCGTGGGTTAACATTTGAACATTTTTAGTTTATATATGACCCCAGGGTCAGGGGTTCTAGTGCTAGGGTGGGGCTATATAAATTATATTGTGAAAATGCATGAATTCTTTGAAATTCTTCTTTTCTGTTCATGGGCATTAAATAAACTAACCAAGTGCATAGTTATGTTGAATAAGACTGCCTCTTCCAAAATTGTGAATTTCATGGCCCCAGGGTCAGGGGTTCTAGTGCTAGGGCGGGGCTATATAGATTATATAGTGAAAATGCATAAATTCTTTGAAATTCTTCTTTTCTGTTTGCGGGCATTTAAAATAAACTAACCAAGTGCATAGCTATGTTGAATAAGGCTGCCTCTTCCAAAGCGTGAATTTCATGTCCCCAGGGTCAGGGGTTCTTGTGTTAGGATGGAGCTATAGAGTTAATATAGTAAAAAATGAATTATTTCTTTGAAAATTTTCTTCCAAGTACATTGATACCCATATTATACATTGATACCCATATTATACATTAACATCACAATTTATACAAAAAGTTTTTTATCTATCCTAAAAAGTAAAACTTAGGTAGATATCTAATTTTTTTTACAAATCAAAACAAGAGGCCCATGAAACTTATAGGTCACCTGAGTATCATGCGACAACTTTCCAACAATTGAATTTGATTCATGTTATAAACCAGAGGCCATGAAAAATTCACAATTTTGAAAGAGGCACCATTGCTTATCATAATTATACACTCAGCATGCTTATTCTGGTTACTTAAAACCCAGAGGTAGATCAGAGTAACAAAAAAAAAATGCATTTCCACTTTTAGTGAATTTCATGGCCCCTGGGTCAGGGCTTCTGTTAGGGCGGGTCCACAGTTGAGCCCCCAATCCCACAGGAACCACTGACCCTAGGGCCACAACTTTCAAAATTATGGAAATTTTTTTAAAAATTTTATTTCATCATGCTGTTGATTAATACTAAAGTGCAGACTTCAAAGCATTAAATTATTTTTAGACTATGTTACCCCCCCCAAAGTACCTCTGTCCCAGGGGCCAGGAAATTAACCATTTTTGGAAGAAGCAGGTTTTTTATCACAGATATATTCTAAGATCATTGGCATTATACCCAATAACAAAGGAAAAGATTTTCAAAGAATTCAAGCATTTTCACTATATAAACATTAGAGCCCCCCAACACAAGAATATCTAACCCAGGGACCCTGAAATTCAGAAATCGCAAAGAGGCATCCTTCCTCCTCATAACTATGCACATAGTTCATTGGTTAAATACACAGGTGCAGAAAAGAAGAGTTTTAAAGAATTTATGCATTTTTACTATATATTCAATAAAACCCCGCCCTAACACCAGAACTCCCAACCCAGGGGCCATGAAATTCACAATTTTGGAAGAGGTAGCCTTATTCAAAATAACTATCTACTTGGTTAGTTTATTTAATACTCAAGAGCAAAGAAGAAGATTTTCAAAGAAATAATTCCTTTTTTACTACCCGGTATATAATCTATATAGGCCCGCCACCAGAACCCCTGACCCTGGGGCCATTAAAGTCATAATTTTGGTAGAGACAGCCTTATTCAACATAGCCATGCACTTGGTTAGTTTATTTAATGCCCATGAACAGAGAAGAAGAATTTCAAAGATTTTTTGCATTTTCACTATATAATCCATATAGCCCAACCCTGCCTCCCACTAGAACCCCTGACCCTGGGGCCATTAAATTCAAAATTTTGGAAAAGGCGGTCTTATTCAACATAACTATGCACTTGGTTAGTTTATTTTAAATGCCAACAAACAGGAGAGAAGAATTTCAAAGAATTTATGCATTTTCACTATATAATCTATATAGCCCCACCCTAGCACTAGAACCCCTGACCCTGGGGCCATGAAATTCACAATTTTGAAAAAGGCGGTCATTTTCAACTTACCTATGCATCTGGTTCGTTTATTTAATGCCCACAAACAGAAAAGAAGAATTTCAAAGAAATAATGCATTTTCACTATATAACCTGTTTAGCCCAGCCCTAGCACTAGAACCCCTGACCCTGGGGCCATGAATTTCACAATTTTGGTAGAGGACTCAATGCTGATTACAATCATGCCAACAGTTTAACTACTTGATGTCCAGGAGTAAAGAAAAAGATTTTTAAAGATTGCACTAATTTGAGTGGTTTTCCCCCCCCCCCCCCCCCCCCCCCCAGGCGCCAGGGAGGCAGGGACAATGAAATGCTATATGCCAAATTTGATTGAAATTGGTTCAGTGGTTTCAGAGAAGAAGCTAAAAATGTTCAAATGTTAACCCACGACGCACGACGAACGACGAAGGACGAAAACAGATAGCAGTAGGTCACCTGAGTTTACTCAGGTGGCCTAAAAAGGTTGCCAAAGATTACTTTTATTCAAAATTTTAATATATTCTAATCTGTTACGTTCAATCACTTTCACTAATGAAAAAAAATGCTAAATGTTACTATTATTTAAAATGTTTGTATTTAGAAATTTTAATATGCATGTATATTTTAATCTGTTACGTTCACTATCACTAATGAAAAAAGTTGCCAATCACTGAGGTGAAACTGTGTATTGAAACTCATACATTCTAAAAATGATATTGTATACAATTTTGTTAATTAATCTGCTTTATTGTAAAGATCAAACAGTTTGCCTTTTCTGAATTTGGTCCGTCTTAGAATGAGTTAATAATTACATCCACGAAGATAGCTCGAGGATAAGTTACGACAGTTGTTTTTCCATCCGACTCTGAAAAGAAATTGTGAAAGCAAGTTTTACAGTTTATAATTATTAAATAAAGGACATGGAGATAAAGCACAGTATTCAATTTCAAAGTCCATAAAACAATATAAAATAGGAGCAGAGCAAACACGGACCTCCGAAACAAATCAACATTTCAGTATTATACTTAATTTATATCTCTTACTGGTCACTCGGAGTCACAGTACCACTTTATTTCGCAGTCATTTTAAACATAAAATAGTTTTTTTTAATTTTATAAAATATCCTTTTATACTTACGAAAATGTGAATCCCCTGTGTTCTCGTTTCAGCTGACGAACACATGCAATGTCATCGGAAATATCATCATTTTTGAAATCTTTTTTTTAAAAAACAAGCAAATTTACTGTCTTGGTATATACGAGGGTTGTCAAAAGAGTTTGTGGACAATGAGGTTTTTGTCAAAATAAATGGTTCTATATGCATCTATTGTATATCAACATATTTCTTATGAAAAACCAAGTCAAAATGGTTTAAGTCTTATTGATGGAATGTAATATTTTTGTAAAAATCGGGGTCTTTAAAGATCGCAGAGTGTGCGCACGGACTAGTCTGACGTTAAGCTAATTTCATTATAACGTCAAACATTTGGATTTTGACTTTACACATGTACATGAACACACACTTCATTTCCTTTTTAAAGCGCTATGCACTTCCAAGTGCTCTCAATAATCTTTAAGTATAGATTTTAATTTATTTTATTTTTAGAATTCAAAACAATGCACAAAAATTTACGAGCATCATCTAAATAAACAGTTTATAAACACAAACTGCACAGCCCAGTCCGACGTGCGCTAGATTTATAACAACGTCATGAATAGGAATCTCCATTCTCAGTAAATTACATGTGTTTTTAAATTCTTTTAGTGTCTTCGAATTTGTACACGTCGTTGAAAATTCGTATATACCAATCTTAAATTGATACACTAAGTATATTTCAATAATTTTGAGTTGTTTTAACAAATATTTTGTCTCTTACGTCGTTTTAACCGTATAAAAACTTATTTTTGATCGGATGCTGCCACGTGTGGACGGCTTACGTCGCTTTTTTTGTCGAGTTTTGACACATATTTGTTAGGAGTTTGTTTAGTATTTCTACTGTGTATATAGTAAGCGATACTTAAGATATCATAAAATGATTATTGCCTCTTTATTTGTATTACATAAAATTTTTATTAATTTTTGACTTATCATATATTGAAAATAATCAATGTAATCAATGTTTATGCCATTTTAACCTTTGTCCGTGCGCACTATCCGCGACCTTTAAAGACTCCGATTTTTACAAAAATATGATGTTCCATCAATAAATATTAAATAATTCAGATTTTTTTTCATTAGAAATATTTTGATATACAACAGATTTATATAGAACCATTTATTTTTACAAAAACGTCATTGTCCACGAACTTTTTGGACAACCCTTGTACACTTATTTGTAATATTTATACCGAGCGAGACCATTTCATACGGTGAATATAACAATATTACGAACATTAATAAATAATAGGTTAATATTACTATCACTAGACTAGATATTCATGTAAATACATGCAAAGTTTATGGGAAACATATGAAAATGCATTGCAAAAATTAAAGAAAAAAGTTACTTGTGTTGCAAACTTTCAGATATAAATAAGTTTTTGTGTCAGACTCATTAAAAAATCTTTTAAATGACGGAATAAAGAAAATCTATAAATTATTTTAGTTACATAACGGTTAACCAACATAGCTATCTATTAGGTAAAAATTTTAACGTACCTGAGCATGGATGATTGCAGCCATTTTTTGTTCTTTGGCCATTTTGTGGATCACAATTCCAGTAGTCATTTATTTGAAAAAGTCCATGATCCCGAGACCCGTTATCGTTTACTCTCCCTACGGCATATGTCCTGAAGCTCGACTCATACCATGCCATACAAACGTCTAATGAATAGAGATAAATCATTAATACTCAGGGTGTTTCAACAAACCTGTCCCGGCTTTGGATATCTATATTTTTGTCAAATCACAATATATGTATAAAACAAAAACTGCACTTGAAAGCAAATATTACGGCAAATTGTATTAAAATGTGAATATAAGATATTATGACGTCATAATTACTTATTTAAGCCCTAACCCTAACCCTCACCCTGATGAATTTAGGTAGTCAGGTATTTTAAAAATGGAAAATAAAAGAGATCGATTTTGAAAAATAGGTATCCAGATAAAAAGCTTCTTTCTAGAAAACAGATTTTTCGGAATTGTGTCAAAATTTGATCAAAATTTAATCAGTATGGGACTATTGGTGACAGAAGAAAAGACATGCCTATAAGGCCAAGGACTAGACGGTCAGATGAAAATATCGATATGGTGAAGACAATTATCGAGGAATAAGAAGAGTATTTAAAGAAATTGATTCTAACATCAGTTTCCTCATCAGTTTATAGAATTTTGAAATTCGACTTAAAATTATCATCTTACAAAATTTCGATAATGCAGCATCTGAAATAAACCGATATTTCCTCCCGGCTTTGTTTTGCTAAGTGGATATTGAAAACCATTTCTTTAACCGACATGATATGGTTCTCGGATGAAGCACATTTTACACTTGATGGACATGTAAAAGAGCAACAAAAAATGTGTTTTTGGGGAACTTCAAAGCCTGACTTTTATGAAGAGAGACCACTACACAGTCAGAAGGTTACAGTCTGGGTGGCAATGAGCAGTACCGGAATCATAGGTCTTTTTTCTATGAAGAGGATAGTGAAACCACAACAGTAACATCTACACGATGTTACTTATTTTCATAACCAGAAATATCAATACGATCATAGTAATTGATAAAAAGCTGAGTTTGAAAAAAAAATGATGTAAACTTTTTAATTTCTACTATATAACCACGTTTTTCCACATTCCTTAATGCAGATGTACAATTCCTGTAATTAAGAAAAATAAAGAAAAAGTCAACTAGGTTAATTTTTTCTATTGATGACAAAATTCTATATACAGGTAATTATAAATCTGTGTAACAGAATATACAATTGGTCTGTACTATCAATATATGTTTTATACAAATAACCCGATGGTTGTACATTTTAATCTGCTTTTTTGCGATTTTTTATGAAAATTAAATTTGTTTATATCTTTCATTTCATTTCTCTGTTTTCAAGCTCAAATAAAAATGTCCATAGAGGCAGGGGGAGATTTTGTCAATAAGGCTGTGGTTGTTATTTGTAGTTAAGCATCTTATTAATAACTTACAGTCGTCTATATCGGCCCGTGGTACACCATTCCGTGCCAGTTCTCTGGCTAATTCACATTTTGTAAAGGTTTTTCCATGCACTGAAATGTAAAAAGAACATTAGTTTGTGAACTCTTTTCAGGGCTTCCACACTTAATATAATGTTTATTCATTGTGACAGGAAATTACAATGGATATAATTATTTTTAACCTTTTGACCTTAACCCAAGGGTCTGATCCACTTTACAATAGACTTTAAACATGTCCAAAACTTTTAAATTTTTAGTTCTAAGGCTTTTATATTTCACAGGTGTATTTCTTGTGACAAGACCTTCCCTATGATACCATCAATTTTGACCTCTTGACCTTTGATTTTGACTTGCATTTGAGAAACTTTAACCCTCTTTATAAGCTATAATACGGGGACACCGGTGTTGTATAAACCTCTTTTTTAACCATCTTTTATATTTAGCATTTTTTTATTCTTACCTGTCATAACCATTACAGCAAGAGTCGTCAGCATCAAAGACATGATTGTGTACCTAGTATCCAAGTGAAAAAATGTATATAAACAGTAGACTAAAATGAGATAAAATGTTTTAAAAAATTACAAATTATTTCCATTTAGTCAAAATGTGAGTGAATCCATGGAATAAAATCAGGCAACAATTTAGAATTTTATTTTTAAAAAAAATGGATTTGTTTTGTCAATCAAATTCTCGAAGAGTTTCCAAAGATATGAAAGTATTCTTCTTGCATATTTTATTAATAAGAAATGATAATAATGAATGACTTTTCTGTGATATCCAATAGACTAGATTTACTGGAACACTTTGTCGTATAAAGTATAAAAAATGTTTTAATGTAAATGTCGTATAAAGTGTTAAAAATGTTTTAATGTAAATGACTTTTGGAAGATCTGAGAATTTTTATATTTTCAAAAAATCTTTAGAGTTCTTTTGGACTGAGATCTTTTAAACACTACTCGTAGAATAAATGCTTAGCGAAAAATGTCAAAAGATTTTTCATTGCAGCAAATAATATTTTGTTAGGAGTAAAGATAGGGGCTTGCTAGAACATTTACTGGAATTGGCAAGTATCAGCATTAAAATGTAAGTCTGAAGAATTTCAGCTGGTGTAAGTTAGTAATTTTTAGATTTGAGTTTGACTATCGGAGTTTTGTAAGTTGGCAAATTGATATAACTTTGAAGTTGAATACTGTTCGTTATCTCCTGGTACCTGAATCTGATCCCATCTCTGAGGTCATTGTTAGCTCTGATCTTATTTTGTATTGTTATTATGGACTTTGATATTGAATACTGTTCGTTATCTCCATATCCTTCATACAGAAGAATTTAAAAACATTTGAGATCACCCGATTTCTAACCTTTTTTTTTTTTAGAATGAGTGGATTTTCGGTTAAACAATTCTCTTTCATCCAAGGATTACATTAAATGAGCTCAGGTATAACAAAGTGAAAAATATATAATTTTGAAAGATTTAGGAAAACAAACGGACTTACAAAAATTCAATCTGCAAAAAAGCGTATTAAATCTTAATTTTAATAACTTAAAAAGGTTCTCTTTTTTCAACATTTTTTATAAGACAAGCCTATAACAATAGGGTTATAAAATGTCCAGAAAATTGTTCAAAAGTTTTACGGCAAAACAAGTCCAAAAACATAATCTAAAGGTTTTATGATAAATCATATCAAAACGACATTACGATAAAATATATATGCTTGTGTAGAACAAACTAAGTAAATTGAAACTTACCACTTGTGTGTATAAAGGAGAGCTGATAATTTTTCATGAGCAATGGCTTCTTAAATAGTGAAAATACGTATGCAGTGGCGCACGCGCAAAAAAAAGAGACTGAATGAGCAAAGTAAAAAAAAAATGTTTGTTGTTTTGTTTTCAGACAACTGCGTAGTTATGCATATCCATATGTTGTAATGATGAATCTGATTTTTTAGTATAAGGGCATTATTCTGAAAATTTAAATCGGTAAATAAAACTTCCGAAGTATATTTCGCTAGACTTTGTACATTACACTACCGACCAGACCCAACCTGACACCCAAGCAGTCCCGGAAAGCAGTCCTCTGCTTTGGGACCGCTCTGGGGCTGTTGTGGGACTGCTCTGGGATTAAATGTAGTTAGAATATTTTTTTAATAAAGTTATTAAATAAGGAAGTCAGGAGAAGATTTTCATCCCTAAAATTAAACTACAGAATTATGAGAAAAAATATCTACATGTAGGCCTATTTTATTATTTATTGTAAAATTATGTGCGCTAAAAATTTGCATTGGCACTATTTAAAAATAATCATTACAGTTAGATATAAGATTTTTAATTGAAAAGCTTCATGTTTTACGAGTACCACGCTACAAAAAGTATTCCATGCAACCCTCAAATAAAGCCTAACAATTTATTAAATGACCATGAAATAAAATTATGCTACCATTCTTCCATAACTTAAACAATATGAAACAATGTGAATAATCATTGGGGAATTTATTGCTGAATTACCGGTAGTTTTTAATCTATAAACAAGTTAGCAAACGAGTACATTTATTTTATAAATAAAAAGTTAAAAATACCGGGAATTGTGATTTATTTCTTTTTTTCTTTTGCTTGTGTTTACCTGGTCGATTAATTTTTTTTGAATGGTATCAACACCCGCGGTTTCAATCGCCTTAGGGCAGAAAATCAGTGCATGTTATTTGGGTATACGTATCAGTGTTTCACATCATTGGACATGCTGGTCAACTATGACACTTATTTCAATCTACAGGTATGTAATGCAAAAATAAAACTGAAAAATGAAATTTGTATGAATTTCCTTCAAGATTAATTAATTTTGAACTTTTGATGATTTACAGATGTACATTCTAACATTTACAAAATAAAACACTTAAAACTGAGTTTATAGAGATAGAGAAATTAACAATAATTAAATTGACATGTCAGTAAAAATAATCATGACTGAAAAATAATTCTTGGCAAAATTAACAAAGAATTTTCTAAAAGTCCGAATAATTCCTTTTGAGTATCCCAATAGTATGGACATTGGCCATATAACAATGAGATCTATTTCAAGCTAATTCTTACTGGTGGAAAATAATTAATTCACGTTTAATTTTCTGCATAAAAATGAATATGGGAAACAGTATCAATCACAGAAAATAAAGAAAATGAATTATTAATATACCCGATAATTGTAAATAAATATTCATGTTCAGTTTAATTTATACATGTACGTGGGAAAGCCTTCTTCCTTCAATAAATATTAATTCAATTTTGTTTTTATGCGTTCATAAATGACCTTCGCATACATGTAAAAAGTAAAGATTCCTGGCACACTACCCAAAATCAATTTCTGCTGCCTTTTATAGTTACATTGTTTATTGCAAAACTCATTTCTGAGTTAGCTCCGCCCATTCAATTAATAAACCCCGCCCACTGGGACTGCTGGGACTGCTCTCTGGGACTGCTGGGACCGCTCTGGGACTGATGTTGGACTGCTCTGGGACCGCTGTGGGACTGCTCTGGGACGGCTGTGGGACTGCTTTAGCAGTCCCAGAAAGCAGTCCCCGGGACTGCTCTGGGACTGCTTTGTGTCAGGTTGGGTCTGGTTGGTACTGTAGTACGTTCAATAAAAATGAAATCCGAATACGTACATACCTTGTCATTGGTCATTTCTAGTTTTACACACAAATATTTCGAAGTTGATCTGAGTTTTGATCGACAATATATTTGTCGTTTCGGAGACCCGGTCATCCTTCAATCTGTCGGAATACTGTGTACCATTATAAGTACAAATTATATGTATATCATTGCTGTGAAGGAATGACACAAGAAAATACATTTATGCCTCCTTAATTGAAGATTCGGGGAATATATTTTTGACCTGTCCGTCTGTCTGTCTTTCTAGCTGTCTGTTTGTTCAAAATGCCTTTAACCTTGACAAAACCTTTAAATGGATGGGCATTCCTTGTAGCATTACCTCTCCTCGGATATCACCAAATGTTACCTCTAGACCTTGGAGATTTATCAACCTTAACAAAAAATAATCAAAATTTTAAACATGGCAATAACGTTTGCTCGGGATCTCAATAGGTATACAAAATCGTATGGAGATAAAAAACAGGATTCAAGATCAAAAGTCCATAAAACAATACAAAACAGGAACATAGCAACCACGGACCTCCAAAACATCAGATGTGTTGGACGGACGGACGGACATTCCGATTACAATGTACCCTCCAGTCTTGCAATTCTATGTTTATATAATGGACTAAAAATTAGTTTGAAAACGTCAGTCAGCATTTGACTTATTGATAAATTGTATTTGCTGACAAGCTAGTCATTGTATCGACCAACTAACGTAATGATGAATTTAATCGGGACTGCTGATATTATTGTTTATCAATAATTTACCTCCTTTTAGAAAATGTTCATACGTAAAGAATACTCTTTCGTATCGAATTAAAATAGATATAAAGAACTGAGATATATAAATACATTCCGTATGCAGATGATGAAGGTATATTGCTGCATAATTAAGGGAAGCTGACGATAGAAAAGTTAAAGTCATCACGTTTATCATTAAGCTTGCTCCTTAGTACCATTAGTGTTTTATATTATTATAAAATATCCAAATACGAAACAGATTTGTCACATTCTGTAGTGTCTTTTTTCTCAATCTCACCAGGATATATGATTGGAAATTATCAATTTTAATATGGAATTAAGGGAATTACAACCAAAAGTTTATGTGTCTTGCTTTTATTCTTATTCTGATAACTTCTTCATGCTTTGTTATTTTTGTAACTATATGTCATTTTATTGTTTTCACATTCGTCTTTTTTACATTTAACTTTGAAATTCTATCATTCCTCATTTTGTCCTTACTTCAATGTTGCTTTATTCTTGTAAATTCATCCTACTTTCGTTTATATTTATTCAGTTTCTTAGAAAAATTATTATGATTTTCTCTATTGCGAACGTTATTTCAATCACACAAACAATAAAGCATATTCAAGGAAGACAAACATAAGTTGTCCAAATTTATTGCGGCATTATAACGCTAGGTGGCGTGGTGTTCGCTACGAGTGTTGGTAAAATTAGGTAAGCAAACCCGGACCGGTGTTATTCGAGATTCTTCGATATGCCGTAATACTTTATCAATCGCAATCGAACCCCATTTTTCAAATGATGTTTAAGTTGTTGTAGGTTAATTCAGTAATGTACCCTTTATCGTAACTTCTGAAGGCCATATCCGATCACCCGAAGCAATGATGGAAACTATTATTTTTCTTTTCATTCATAACTTTAAACTATTGAAAATGATCATTGAAAGGCTTGTGCCCCTCACTTTTTCTAAGAGTAAGGGTCAAATCAGGCTAGTATAACAGGTGCGGACCTAGAAATTTTGAAAAATTGGGGAGGGGGGTTGAAGGATTTTTCAAAGGGTGGGGGTTGGGGGGGATGAAGGGAAATGATTTATTATAACATACGTTTTACACGT